CACTTCAGAATTTCAGCTTAAATACAACACAACAGCTTACTTCCCCCAGAGATGTGGGCCCCCAAAAAGAAGGTAGGTAGCATTTGGTCAACACAGGCAAGCACACTGCTTCAATAAGAAACATGAAAGCAGGGCCGGCCGAGTGGTGGGTTGCTTAAGAGTTGGCTTGGGACACCAGCTCTGAGCAGCAGGGCCCTGGTTCAGGTCCCACATGAGGGTCAGTGACACTGCCCTCTACAGCTAAGATGGTGAACAACAGCTTGACCTGGAGCTGGGCTGCCGTGAGTCACCAGCAACGGTGCAGGCTGCAGCGGGGCTGCAGTGGGCTGCCGTAAGCTACTGTGAGTGGCCAGCAGCTGGCGTGAGCTGCCGTGAGCCGCCACGAGTGGCCGTCCAAGGGTCAGCGAGCGACTGCCTCACCCGGGAAGAGCGCCATGATAATACCAACATGGGCCAGTGAAGCGACGTCCTCCACAATTAGACTGAAGAACAAAACAACAGCAACTTGCTTGTTCCCCTTCCCCGATTCCCCAACGCTGTTCCCCTCCCCCAATTCCCCAATAAAATCTTAAAAAAAGAAAGAAAAAAGAAATACGAAAGCAGCTTCTTGGAGCCAAGGAGACCACCACTGTTCTAATTCTATTTATTAATCACAAGAGCACCAACATGGGGATAGCATCCTGCTTTGTCTTATCCTTCCACATTACAGAGAAACGGTTACGAAGTAAGCCTAAATTCCAGCTCAATTCATTTCTAGCTGTCCAACCCTGGGCAACTCATGTGAACTCTCTAGCCTTCAGTTTCTTTACCTCTAAAATGGGGTTAAAGGTGGTCATGGGGAGGTCAATGAGCCGGATGATTCAAATAAAACTCCTTAGCACAGTACCTGCCACACGCACTGAGCCTGCTCCATGCAAGCGGGCTGCGGTCATTGTCTTCCTCGCCCTGTGTTCCCTTTGCCAATTTGGTCTGCCTCGAAATGGGTCATCAGACCTGGGCAGGTTTCCTCTCTGCCTGACCAGCCAGGTCTAACGGTCTCCAGCTGACGTTTTAGAGGGTTCTTCTGTCTCACTTCGCAGGGGAAAGCGGAAGTGGCATAATAATAGAGAAATAAATCGAGAACAATCCATACTCCAGACCACGGCAAAATCTACCAGACATGACAAGGCAGAGAAAAAGCAGGATAAACCTGGGGGAAGAAAGACTCTGTCCTCCTAAAATCTCTAAATATTATTCCATTTAAAACCTTTGCATCCATCAAAAGCCTAACAAGAAACCAAAAGAAAGGTTCTTCAGGCTCTGGTTTTCTCCGGACACCCCCTCTTCTGGACGTGCTAACGTACAGCCATTGACCAAAAGGAGAGTTAAAAAGAAAGTGGTGGGGAAAGAAAATGACCCTGTATGAGAAGCCAAATTCTAATTATTGTAGGTAAAAGCTCTGTATTTTGGGGATCTGCCATGGAGAAATTTTAATCTCAGGAAAGACAGGCTAATGATTAAATTGGAACCTTTTCGGAACACCTCATGAGAAGATGGCTACACATAGACTCCATAATTAGAATTTGCTAGAACTTGTTTCCCACACATTCTTACTATCCCATTCCACTCCATCACGTAATATCCACGGGCAAGGATGTGTTGGCCTCCTTCATTTTGAACTCAGTCTCCATCTTTCTCCAGCTCGCCTCCTGTCCTGACTTCCAGAAAAAATATATCTGGTAGCACACTGAAGACAGAGGCTCAGAGAAATACGTTCCTCTGTCTAAGTGAGTCCACACTCTTGCATGGATGAGGCTGTCATTTCTAATGCATCCATCCAGCCTATTAATTAAGACAATCAGGAAATACATGCAAATTTTAAATAACAAGGCTAGAAGTAATCTCATCTCTATTCAAAAAGCAAAGCAAAACAAAACAAAAAAACCATACTTAGCCTTTTTCTACTGAAGAGGCCCCTTCACTCCTCTGAGTAAGAGCTTGTTTCAAATCTGCCTCTTTAAAAATGGATGACTTTCCTGAGTCCCTCCAAGAAAAAGAAGTCTGCTGCTCAGAGGAGAAGGTGAAAGAGAAGAATTCAGATGTATTCATTTTTAAAAGTTGGGGTGGTAACTTAAACCCTCACATCCCTTTTGATCCTGTTATATTTTTCACGGCAGAAGCTCCCAGCGAGGGCTCAAGTGGGGTGCAACAGGAGTTTTAACATTCAAGGCAGCGGATGGACTTGCTGCGGTTTGTGTGTCTGAATGAGAAATTACCCAGCTCGGGCCTGCTCGGGGCAACAGGTCTCTTTGCCTGTACTGGATTTGGGTCAAACAGCAAAACCTTAAATCACAAAATATCAGCATCGTTTTGTTTGGTAAAGAAGTGGGTATTGATTAACAATAATCCAACCGGATCAAAGATGCCATCTGCTCAACTCAAATCAGTTAGAGGGTGACTGGCCTCAAAAAAGTTCGGCCACACTCCCTGGGCTGCAGGCCCTTTGAATGGGCACCATCTAATAGGACCCGATGAAATCAGCTAAGCAAAGATATCATTCTTTTCTTCCTGCACCTCTTTTGTTTCTAGGTATTTATACAATAAATTGACTCCTTAGCCCTAGTCAGAAGCTCTGGAAAAGTGTCCTTAGAGCATTTTCTTCACTCCGGCTCATCTAAATGAGAATGTTTGCATTAGAAATTGATGAGGAAAAAAATTAATGAGGTTGTAGGAGAAGGTCAAATAGATGTGTGTGAGGAGGGTGGGGCTGATTTCCCCAGCGAACACGGTTTCCATCCCCATCTCCATGGCCACAGAATCCGGGCACGCTAATGCCTCCCATTCAGCGAGAAATCGGAAACCAGCGTTCCTATATGGTGGTGCCTTGAGGGCAAAAAGGGGAAGAAAAAAAAAATCCCAGACAGCAGAGACTGTGACAAAGATAACCACAAGGAATGTAAATAAAATATTATTACAAGCAGCACACTCACCGCCTCACACTCAACAACTCCCTCCCCCACAGTGAAAAGTAAAAACATACAAAGTGTGCGTTTTAAAGAAGTGTGGAGCTGCCCTTTGGGAAGAAGCCATGCGTATAAAGTTTTTTCTCCATTTGGCTCACTTTGACATTCACAGGGCTTGAGACGTACATGTAAAGAGAGCATTGGGCCTGTTCGCTAATTTTAATTTGGGGAGCAGGAGGCTGAGCCCCATGTTGATAAGTACCTTCCATCAGTGGCTTGATCTTTGTCAGTGATAAGCCAGGTTTACCTGAGCTTTCAAAAGCCAAAGCCCGGGCTCTTCCAACATGACACCTCGAAATGAAATAAATGCATTGCAAACACAAACTGTAATAGACCAGACTCTTGCCAAATGCACACGTGTACGTTTCACAGAAGAGCCAGGAGGACATTTCTAGCAAGGAACGGTCGCCACGCGGAACACAAGCCAGGCCTCTCTCCTGCCAAGGGTCACGGGCTCTGGAGCTCACAGGAGTCCCTAGAGGAAAAGGCTGGTAGAAATAACTTCAAGATACGAAACCCACAAACTCTACCAAGGCGTAAGAGCCCCCTTAAGGAACTCTGGCCTCAGCTCTAAGGACTGCCAAGAGCTACCCTCCTCACGTGCTGGGGAATCCTCCACCCCGCACCACTCCATCACCCCCTCCACAGAATCCATGCTCCAAACTGAAGGGGAAATTCGAATGCACAACTGGTAACTGGTGCCACTGCCGAAATACACTTCCATCACCTCTGGCCAACGATTCAGAGCCCGATGTTGATATTCTCTTAATAACATAAGGAAGGGGTTAGAGGCTGGTCACCCAGCAGCCCATCTCTAACTAAAGCTAAAGGTCCCTTTTCTTCTTTAGTCAGTTTGAGACCCTGGAGGGTTGGCCTGGTGGCTCAGGTTCTGTTGATGTGAACCAACCCCCACCTTCCCACACCACAAATCTCAGGCCCACAGAGGTGTGGACAGGGGCTACGGGGCATTTGCTTCTGCTAAACGCAGTGCCCTACGCAGGTTAATCCTCAGTCTGAGAACTCACAGGTTAGCCTCTCCCTGCATCTGACAGACAGTCTGGAGCTTTGAATTTTCAATGAGAAACCTCCCAAGCCAGCCCGGGCCCCTGGCCTTCAGGTTCCTCGCTCTTCAGACGCAGCCTGCCTCCAAAGGCGCTGTATTTTACCACTTAAACACTTCTTTGAAGTTTACTACAGAACACTGTGGCTCTGAGCCTGCCAAATGTCTAACTGCAGGACTTAGTGGATTTTATCCGACAGGGTACCTGCCCTCCCTCTTCAGAATACGTGCAGGCAAAAGGCAGTCATCAAGGCAGTGCGATCCCAAGGGTCCCGAGTGCCCTCTCTGAAAACGCAGCTTTCTCATTTTGACCCCTTCCCAACTCCATAGCTTCAGAATCCAAATGAAATGGATGGCAGTAGACAACTATGAAAAACTTTTGAGGGGATGACCCAGGACGTAACTATTCCTGTGTGAATTTAACTTTTGATTTTCAAATATCTGGAGGGGCTTAAGTTCGGGGGAGATGAAGGGGGAGCACCAACGAATAGGAAAAAATAAGTAGCATACCACGACCAAGTTAAACCAAGCTGGATATTTCCAAACTATATTGGCAAATGGATGCTTTCACAAATCATCTGTTCTGTCTTTCCTGGAGACAAACAGAAAAAAAAAATCTGAATGCAAAATCCCTAACCCCAGAGCAGTAACATTGTATCAGTGGAATGCAATCTAAAATTGACGGTCAGAAAGTCCATTCTTTATATATTCCAACACTCACACAAGCACCCCAAGCCAAAAGTTGTGACACCCGAAGCGATGCGTTCATCAATTTTACCAGCCCCTAACCCCCGCCGGGCGACCGGCGCAGGGTTCAGCGGACAGCATCATGTACCGATCTGCGCGTCTCACAGGATCGCTTTGGACAAATCCCTGCAAGTGGGCAGAGGCGCCACCTCGGCTCCCCTGGCCCGGGCACCTCCTCCTCCAGGCTGGCCCCCGGCCGCCGTGGTGCCCCTTACCTGCAGGCGCTCCGTGGCCGGCTGCCACATCTTCCAGCCGCGGGGTTTGGCAGAGGAGACGCTGGTGAGACTCAGTGGGTAGCGCCTGGGGGCGAGGGGCTGCTGTCCGGCTTTACATCTGGGGTGGGTGTCCACGGGATGTGCGTCCTAGAGCCGGCCACGGCCGCTGGGCAGGCGCAGGGGGCTGCGAGCAGGAGGCGGCGGCGCGCTCGGCTGCCGGCAACTTGTGGGCACGGCCGCGCGCCGGCTGGGAGAAGACTGCGCAGCTCCGCCCGGGCCCGCGAGCGCACGGCGGCGGCGACCGCTCCCTCCTCTTCCTCCTCCCCCACCGCAGCCGCCGCCTGGACCTGCGCGCTCTGAGCATGCCCAGGGCGGGCGCCCGCCTGACAGCCAACACCCCCGGGCTGCGGGGTCAGAGAACGCAGTGACTACAGCCCCCCAGATCCTGGCGAGGGGACAGCGGGAAGGCCAGAGCCGGCGGCCCTACTCCCCGCGGGAATCCGGGTGGGATGGGGTCTGGGAGAGAGGACAGACTGGCTGGGAAGCGAAGGGCCTGGACAGCGAGGCATCCTGAAGAAAGACACTGTAGCCCCCCTGGGTCCCAGGCTTCTGGGCGGTAAGGACCTCTAAACCGCCTGTGATTTGCCTGGCACTGTGCTGGGCGGCAAACTTCCATTCATGCTTCCCACTCTAGTTAACTGAGCACCTATTATGCTCCGATTCCTCGGCTGGGTTCTGAGGCTAGAGCCGCGCAGAATGGAAGACAAGAGAATATGCCTCCTCTCCTGAGCGTTCATTCCAGCTGGAGAGAGGGTCAACAACAGAGAAAACACATGAACAAGTGCTAAGTCAGGTGGTGATAAATGTTGGGAAGGAAATAAATCAGGGCTGATGAGCCAAGAAGGGAGAGGAGAGCGCCTTAGATGGGGGCCCTGAGATGTTGGGAGTAAGATCCGGAAGGTGGGCGTGGGGAGGGATGACATGCTGGCAGGAGACTGGGGCGCCTGTAGCTGGAGGAAGACAACGCAAGGTCCCCCATCCTTTATCCCTGAGATCTGCCAGGTACCGCAGGAGGCTTTGCCGAACCCAGTGAAGCCAGGGGCCATCCCACCCCTGAAATAACTACCTTTCCTAAAACGCCCTGGCTCTTCACATCCTCTTGATAACTGGGCAAGATAAGTATCAATATCCCATCTATAGATAGAACAAACAAGGCTTGTGGAATTCAGGTCACTGTCCAGGTCACACTGTGAGTGGCTTAGAGAGTGCCCATTCAGATGGCATTGAGGTCGGAGCCCTTGCCACACACCTCTAACTGCTCTGATCATGGAAACACCTGGGAAAAGAGCAGCCATCAGGGGCTGGGGGGAGGGCAAACTTGGCAGGATGGGGATACCCAGCTGCTTCTGGGGGGCTGATGAAGAGTGTGGGAGAAGGTGCTGGGCAGAAGGACTGGAGAGAGTGGAGGAGAACACAATGTATGTGGGGGCTCACAGCCCATGAGAGGTGGGGTCCTGAACCTCGGGGCTGTCAGGAGAAGGGTCCTAATAGTACACCCCACTGGGATGTGTGCACAGCCTGTGCACTGTCAAAATGAACACACCCAGTCCAGAAGGATGTGTCCATTATCGTGTGTAGGTAATGATATTAGAGCGATCCAGAATCCGGTGCTCAGTTCATCAGATCCTCCCAGCAGCTTGGGAGGGACAGAAACCCACATCTCCCAAGACTTGAGGAGCAGAAGATCCATGGAGACACCCAGAAGACAGTCACCCAGTGGCGATTCAGGTCCAGGGCGACAGCCCCCCCTCTCCCCCCCGCTACTCTTCCCCAGGGCCCCAGGCAGCTCCTTCTGGACCACACAGGTGTTGACCGGTGCCACCCACCCAGACAGGCCCAGGACCCTCAGTGCCCTAGGAACACCTGGCAAAGCCACAGAGATGCTTCTGAGAGGCTAGCCTCTGTCTCCCCAGATGACCACAGGACTCGCCCCCTCCACCACCCACACACCCCTAATCCCCCTCCTGCCCAAAGCCTTTGAGGACTTACTTTCTCAGGTCCTTCCCTAGCCCCTGCCACTTGCTCTAGACCTATCAGTAAATCCTTGTCATGAGGTGTTGGTGTGTCAGCCCCACGTGAAAATACATCTCACATGCTTTGTCATGCGGTCTCTGTTGTGAGATGATATTTTTACTTTTCCAGTAACTCATGCTGCTCACCTCCCACACCTAGAAAATTTCTGATGAAAATAATAGACTTTCTCAGCCTCCTAGTTAGTTCTCTTTTATCAAATCCCAAAGCAGAAAGAACTGCACTTCATGACGAAAATCTAGAAAACCCAAATGCGCATATTAAACCTCTCCGGAAGCTAAAACAGGAATATTCAGTTGTCTTCAGACTTCAGCTTTGAAACCTTCCTTAGTTGCAGATGCCTCCATGGAAAAGTGACTTTGTTTTAAATAGCAGTGGGATGAGATAACAGCCTAAATTCACATCGCATTAGAGCGTTAAATCCTCTCTTCTCACCTCCGAGTGTAATTAATTGTTATGACTCAGTAATACAGCTTTTAGTTCAGAGTATGATGCTATTTAAAGAGAAAAGTCTTGGGCTCTGTAGAGATTCCTTTCAGTTACCAGTCCCACTGCAAACAGATTTGGTAAAGTAGAAAATGTGTTTAAATTCAAACAACACTCCTGTTTCAATTTCCTTTATGCCACGAATCAGGAAGTGGGGCGGGGGGGGGAGCGGACGTGAGAGTGGAAGTGAAGGCTGGTGGAAGTTGACAAAAGGGATGGGACAACCTCCCACCCATCAATTTTGTTCCCAAGTTTTCCCATTCAGGAGCAACCTGCAATAGAGGGTGAATGAAACAGAGACATCTACTGGCGAGAGGCGGGACTGCATTGTGATCTCCCGGTTCTGTTCAGGGACGTGGTGACCTCCTTACCCTCCTGGTGAGTCTGAAGGTGCCTCTTTACAGTGTAAACAGGTTTGCCCTGAGCAAGGAATCCTTCTTGAAACAAGCAGAAGGTGTCTGAGTGCTACGAGTGGAAATGTTAGAAACATAAAATGTGTGCCTAACTGCATCTGCTTAATCCCCCATACTTATCTAAGCGGGTAACCTTAATAAATACCATTTCAAGGAAAATGACAAAAAATAAAAAAGATTCACAAGGCCCAGATACATTATAAATATAATGTTTTGTCCAGGAAAAGAATTACAACCATCCCTAGAAATTTTTGCAAGCCAGATTAAACCTAGTTCACAATTGTGAGCCCTAAGATAAGCAACCTAAATGTTTAAATCAGGAGAATGGTGGATGAAATCATATCCAACATATTAAAGAAATATTAAAATATTATGCAGCTATTAAGGAGGAAAATTATGAAGCTGTGTTGCAGCTGGAAAATGCTAATGGTTTAATTATAGATTTTTAAAGATAGGCTAAAATGCATAATTTGAATACATGTATAAAATATGTATCAATCTCAATAAAAATTGAAAAGGAACTAGGACAATGGGGAGACTCAGGTTGAATTCCAGCCTTTGAGCTATCTATTCTAGGTTATGACTTTTGGTAATTATTTGTGTTACAGAACCTCAGATTTTTCATCTGTATAAAGGGTGATAATACTACTTAATACTTAGAATTACTGGGAACCATGAATGAGTCAATGTGTGCAACATGCCTGGCACATCGTAGTTGTACAGAAAACATTAGTTTTCATCCCTTTACTTTTCTCCCCGTTTTTATTATTGAAATGATCAAATTCTTACAAAGTGGCCCATGTTTCTTGTGGTTAAGTCATTTCCATTTGGAATAGTCATGGATTTCAGTTATTTGATTTATTTTCTCCAACAAAAATGATAAGCCACATTTAATCTTATTTACCTTTCTAATTTAGTCAAATGACCAGAGAATTTTATTCTGATTATATATTTAGCAGAGCAAGCTATTGGAAAGTCGTTCTGATGGTGTCATTAACCCTTATTTCAAAAATCACCAACAACAGCTTCAGATGAGCAATCTACAAAAGTCTGAAAATTTCTTAAACCATTTAAACCTTTCTGTAGTGAGGAAGTCACTGGCTCTTGTCCTTACATAGTGATAGGTGTTTATTAGGGTGTTAAGATAACCCTTCCTCCCTTAAAATGAAATCTTCCCAGTTCATCTGCCAACTTGGTTAAAAGGCAAATGGCACAGGACTGGTTCATGCCCAGGATGCATGCTGTCATTCTCCTATTCAAAACTTCCTCGTACCCTCACCCACCATGGAGACGTGGTAGGCTAATTTCAAAGGCGGCCACCAACATGCTCCTCCCCCAGAAGTCGAGCCCTTGCCTGTTTGTCTCCTCAGGGGATGGAATGTATCTGCACCCTCTAAATGTGTGCTGGACATTATGGTTTGTAAGCCAGGCCCCATGCAGAGAGGGCAAGGAGAGATGAAAGCCAGAGGCAGACCACTCCAGATGGGTAGGTGGCAGATGTAATAAGAAGGAAACTTACATACAAGGCTTGTATGTAAGTAGTTCTCTGCGTCTGCCGGCCAGAATCTTAAAAGTTTATATAGAGGCCGTAATGGGGTTCAGTCATGTATTCAGTCCAAATGGTCTCAACAGCACATTGGTCTCTCCAGGCTGAGTCCTGGAAAACAGCTCCCACTGTGGGAATGGTAGGCAGCAAGCACATTCCCAAGACAGGGAGGGGCTGAGGAGGCTTCCATTGCTCAGGTCCAGCTCTAGGATCAACTGGCAGTCATGACCTCTCCATGACCTTCTCCAATAGACATGTGACTGGCTTTTGTCAACACAATGTAACACCTGTGACACTGTGGGAGTTCCAAGCTTGGGCCACAAGGGACCTTGCACCTTGTACTGCCACCTTCCTGGAACCTGAGATCATCACAGGGAGAAGCTGGATTAGCCGCCTTGAGATGCGGACTGTGGAGAGAGGGGCTAAGCTGACAGCATGTGAGCGAGCTCGTCTTAGCATACCCAGCTCAGTCACACTACTGGAGGACAGCAGCCTCATGGGGCCCCCCGAGGAGATCAGCAGAAGAACCTCTTGGCTGAGACTAGCCCAAATTGCCGACCCATGGAATCATGAGCAAATACTACGGTTGTTTTTTTTTTAATCCCTAAATTTTGGGGTGGCGTGTTAGGTAGTGGTAGATAAAGGATCCAGAAAACATCACTAAGTGTTAGTCTTTCCCACTAAGTCTCACATCCTTCTCAGGATTTCTTCATGACTGACTTATCAGAGTTGGCCCAAAATGGAGTCTAACATAAAGACATACTTCCTTGTTGTTGTTTTACTCCTGCTGTCACGCTTCCCTCATGCCCACCCCGTTCCTAGTCTGAGCATATGTGGGCCACGCTTCCGTGCTTGCTAAGTTTTCTAGTAAGTCCTTTGGAAAGGAAGATGAATGTGGGCTGTGCTTCGGGCGTATGATAATCAAGGTAGGTGTTGGGTCTAGCACAACATGCAATGAATGTGAAGGTATCTGCTCTGTCGCAGCCCTTCTCATTCTCTCTGAGACACTGTCCATGTAAACGACATCCTGCCCAGCCTTTTGGATAGGTGAACACAGCACCTATTCCAACGAGAGCCTGGGGAAGTGAGGCTGGAATGGGGGGTGGGGCTCGGATCTGCTTTCACCACATTTAATCCAGACAGGGGCAACTCTGTACTACTAGTGTTCTTTGCAGACTGGTTTCTAAGGGTCCCTGCTGCCCTCATAGTCCTGACTAAAGATGAGCAAATGCATCCTCACCAGGGCTGGTGAGAAGCCACGCCTTATGCTCTCTTCCTGCCTCTTTGCTTCTCCATCTGAACTGATTTCACACCAAACCCTCTTCCTCGGCATTGCTTCAGCCAAAGACATGACTTGCCCAAGGTGGTTCTCCCTTCCTGGGAGCAGCCCACTTCCAATGCCCAGTTAATGTGAAGTGCAGATGCCTCTGCGGGGTACAGTGGCCAGGGCCACCCCAGCGGGAGGCCTCCTACTGGGTCAGCCACAGCCTTGGTTGCAGCCACCTCACAGTTCACCATCTCTCCTTGTCCCAACCTGTGTCCCTCACCTTCTTTCAGGGCCTCAAGTGGGGATTTGGGAGCTAGACCACCCACTGGATGGCAATAGATAGAGTACTGATCATTTCTGGAATGCTGTAGCTAGGCGATTGTTAAAACTTTAAGTGGCGATGAACTGAAACGGGATACAAATGGAAGGGAATGTGCTGATGGCTGCAGTGTCTCAGGCATTACGGGGGTTTAGGTGAAGTAGTAATTATGAGGATTATAGAATCAGATGGCTATGCTGAGTGCTGTGAATGCATTGGAGAAAGACAAAGAAATTAAGCTGGTGACTACAGCCAGGTGTGAAAGCCAGGCTGCCTCCTTCCCAGCATGTAAAGAGACTCACACCTTCTGCATTTAAGTGGAGAAAACTGAGGATTGGCCAGAATCAGTTATATGGGGAATGGAGCTCTCGAGAGAGAAGATTGAATTCTCCACTCCAAAAAGCACGGCGTCAAGTTCAGGAACCTGAGGGGAAAGAGTGATTCCCTGAGGCTTGCTGGGAACACAGATCAATGCCCTTAGAAATCTGGAATCCCCAGATACAGTGACCTCTCTGAACCAAGAGAAGTGTGTGCAATGGAATAGTACTCAGCCATAGAAAGCATGAAATCTTACCATTTGTGACAACGTGGATGGACCTAGGGGTTACTATGCTAAGTAAGGGAAATAAGTCAGGCTAAGAATGAGAAATACAATATGGTCTCACTTATATGTGGAATCTAAAGAACAGAATAAATGAGCAAACAAAACAGAAGTCAATTCATAGCTACAGAGATGGGAGGGGGTTGGGGTGCTGGGTAAACAAGGTGAAGAGAGTCATAATTACAACTGGTACTTACAAAACAGCCCCAGGGATGTAAAGAACAGCATAGGGAATACAGTAAATAATATGGTAATAACTATGTATGGTGTTAGATGGGTACTAATCGGGGGGAATCACTTCATAAAGTATATGAATATCTAACCACTATGCTGTACACCTGAAACTAATATAAAATAATTGAATGTCAACTGTAATTGCAAAATAATAAAAGAAAAAGAAATAAAATAAAATAGAAAAATAAAGAATTAAAATCATACAGAATATGTTCTCTGACGACAATAGAATTAACTCAGAAATCAATAACATAGAAATGCTTGGAAAATCCACAAGTATTTGGAAATCGAACAGCACCTTGTTAAATAACCCATAGATCAAAGAAGAAATCACCAGGAAAATTTTAAAATAATCAAATAATAATAAACATCAGCCTATCAATATTGTTGCATGTAGCTAAAGCAGTATTTCGAGAGGAATTTATAGTTTCAAATGCTTACATTTTGAAAAGAAACAATGCTAGAATCAAATATCTAAGCTTCTGCCTTAAGAATCTAGGGTTAAGACAGAGGGGGATAACTGGGACTCCCCCACATTGCTGCTTGGGGTATAAAATGGCACAACCATTTCAGAGAACAGTTTGTCAGTTTCTTATAAAGTTGAACATGTGCTTATTATATGACCCAGCAGCTCCATTTCTAGATATGTCCCCAAGACAAATGAGTACCTATGTTCATACAAAGACTGGTACACAAGTGTCCCTAGCAGGTTTATTCATCATAGGCCAAACTGGGATCCAAATATCAATCAACGGGTAAATGGTGAAGCACGTTGTGGTATAGCCTTACCACAGAATATATTTCAACAGCAAAATAGAACAAACTACTAGTACACACCTTAACATGGGTGAACCTTGAAAACACTCTGCTGAGCAAAAGAAGCTGGATACAAGAGGCTGTATGCTACATAATTCTATTTCCATTAAATTCTAGGAAAGGCAAAGCTTATCTACAGACACATAACAGAAAGAAGAAAGTAGTTTCTTTTGTGTGGGGGTGCGGGGGGGCAGTAATTGAAATCAAATGGATGTGAGGGAGCTTTCTGGCATAATGGAAATATTCCGTTACCTGATTGTGGTGGTGATGAGTCAAAACTCATCAAACCGTATACTTAAAACACGTGCATTGACTTCTGTGTAAATTATATCTCAAGAGATTAATCTTTTACACAATTTTTTTCCATTACAGTTGACATACATTATATTAATTTCAGGCGTACTATATAGTGGTTAGAATTTATACAGCTTACAAAGTGAGTTTCTCCTTCAACTCTGTTGACTGCTGACCACTCACAACTGAGTCCCACCCTGAGCTCTGCCCTTGGCCAGAGGAAGCCAGCTTGCCCAAGGTCATGGCCCCTCCTTGGGGACGGTCCCCATGTGCTGACCAGTTGATGCAGGGATGCAGACGCCTGTCTCAGTGGGCGGCACCTCTGAAGAGCCACCCAGCTCCAGACTGCCCTGCACGTCAGCCGAGCTCTGTTAGAACAGCATTGCCGCCCAGCCTCTTCCGTGGCCCAGTCTGCTTCTGCCGCTTCCAGGTGTGGTTTCCTAGAGAACGCCCCCATAAACCTCCTGAACGTAAATCTTCACTTCTGAGTCTGCCTACCAGAGTACCTGAGATACCAGGATAAAAAATGTAGAGTTAGCGAAATCGACTTCCTCTTGCTCAAACTACATGTGCATGAGCCCTTCTGGAGGGGGTTAGTATCCCCATGTCCCTTCTTACACAGCACAATACTCTCCCTCCACTCCCTCCCCGTCTCTGTCCCCTCTACACACACCAAACAGCACCCAAGCTCCAACGCAACATCTCGCAGAGGAGATTTCTGGAAGCTTCCAGAAATTTAAGCTTTACAATAACGGGCCTCTACCATTTTCCTGTTTTGTTTTCAAATCTATTTATGCCCTTTTTTTTAATGGCAGGAAACACCCGAGGTGTTTAATTACAGTGAAATACATTCATTTCCAAGGCTTTTAAAGGGAGCAATAAAGGGACTAGACAGCAAGGGGTTAGTGTCGCTAATAGGTGTTTGGGAGGGGTAGATGGTTGGGATGTTCCCATGGGTAGAATGCTGTTGAGTACATGTACATACATATAACTGTGTCGAGTCGAGTTACAAATGAGAACCTTTCTTCTATTGCTCGTTCATGAGATAAGAGAGAAACTGGGAGAATGCCGTCCAGTCACACTGAGCCATGATCCCATCCCAGCAGCTGCATGAGCTAAGTTGGGGCTCCGGGAGAGTGGCTGCACATGGCAGCGAGGTCCTGAGGGAATGGGGCTGCTTGTGTGAACGCAGAGGCCTGGACAGTGGTGGCCCCTCCCAGCCTTGGTACTTATGCGAGCTTTTGGAGAAATTAAAGATGCTTTAAAGATCAACTGTGACGATTTCCTCCTATAACACAAGGGCAATAAAGCACTAACGTCTTAAAAAGGCATTAGGAAAAAAAAAACCCCACTTTTTTGTTTCTGATTATAAAAAGTAATACGTGCGGAATTTTTCAAAGCTGGAAAATGCAGAATTGTATCAGGAAAAAAATAACCATTTCCCGTCATCCCGTCAAGCCGAGAAACCAGTGTTTTAAAACACTTGGGTATATATCTTTGGAGGCATTTGGATAAACAGATAGAAAAATGATTCCTATAAATATTTATATAGTGTAGGTTATACTATACATGCAATTTTGAACCCGGCTCTTTTCCCGAAATGCTCCACGCTACACTTGTGTAAATACTCTTCAGCTGAAGCGCCACCAAGGGCGAATGTGCACAGGTCCTCGGAACAGCCACGCTGCTTACAGAGCTCCCCGTGGGGGGGGGGGTGAGGGCCCAGTCCCCTCTGGGCCCTGCAGGGCTTCCGGACACTCCGGACCACGGGTGAACACGGTGCCACAATGTTAACTTGTGCTCCTGTCTTCCCAACATTCTTCTTCCTATCTTCTCCAAAATGGTTCTGTGTTTACTTCTCATAGCTGAAACGAAAGTCACAATCGATGTGGAAAGGAGTAAAACACAAAACTGAACACACCATGGGATCTCCATTCAGGTCAGAAATGTAGCCCAGCTCTGGCTGCTGGGGGGAAGGGAGGAGTCTTTTAGGAGCAGGGCTGTCCCCGCCCCCACCCTGCATTCAGAAAAGATACATAAAATGAGGAAGTGCACGTCCACCACCCTCTGTCTATCTGACCACTTAGATTTCTCTACTTCCCCTAACTCAGGGTTTTTCAACCCATTTTTCATAGGTTGTAATATTGGTTTAGTGTGTCATGATCAGCATTCTAAAAAATTAAATGGGATAGGAAAGATAAGAGCAAATATCAGAGTGTGCCACACATAACAAAGGTAAGTATTGCTTCATGAAGCATTTGTTTCAGCTCTGTGTGTGTGCCTGTGTGTAACACATCATGATGCAGCCTGTATTCTTACTGTGTGCCAGCAATGAAGCCTAATGTCTTTCCCCCGCAATCTGCACGGCTTTTGAGAGGCACCACTTTCAAAAAAGTGTCCAGTCTGTCAAAGATTCCCACTGTCCCCCAGTTCCCTGCTTCCTACATTCCCAACACACACACACACACACACACACACACACACACACACACACACACACACACTATCTATCTATCTCTATCCCCAACCTTCATTCCTATCTATGGTTTTAAAAAATTACAAAGGAATAAAGATAAGGATGGGGATAGAGATAGAGATAGAGATAGCCAAAAAAAAATGTTTTAAGGCAAAAGCAAAACTAACAAAAATAGGAAACCTTCAAATTGTTTGATAACAATTATCTCTAGATGATGGTTCTGTAGGCAGTTTTTAACTTTACCTTTCACTTGTTCTATAATTTTCTCAACTTTCTCTTACAGGTAAGAATTCAGGTGCCAGAGTCAGACAGACCTGAGTTCAACTATGATTCCAAAAACTCACCAGAGACAAAAACCATAAAAACACTCCCACGGCTGTAAATACACAAATCAATGTGAATAAACACAATGTTCCATAACTTTTATAATTTTGAGTATTTTTAGTTAAGGTGACATTCTCTCCCACTGGCAATACATAAACTTTGAGCACCGTGTACATGTCCCCAGTGAGAGTGTGACCTCAACAGTCACTCTCGCTTCTCTTGGGCTACCTCCAGGGAGTCAGCTCTTCCATCCTACCCTCTCTGGCATCGAATTTCCAAAGCAACTAAAAGTCAGATTTTAAAACATTGCACTGAATTAAGGGATAGTGTAGCAACGTTTCGACGGTTTCAGTCTCTGGTGACTTACTGAGTTTTTCAATATTAAACTTCAGAGCTGATACTCATCATGCTACAATTTTGAGATATTTCCCCCCAAAAAAGTTCCCTAATAATGGCTAGAGTATATAACAAGGGAGTCCTTTCTTTTTTCTACAATATATTTCACATATATATTATGCAATATATAATGAATTCATAAATTCATTAACATCTCTTGCTCCCTAGATAATCAGAATACTGTGATGTCCTCATAAAATGTAGGAAAGCTTAATTAAAGTCTTCAAACATCCATGAGGACACCAACGTGTGTAGAGCCCAGGACTGGGTACTAGCCCCAGCCCTGCCACGGTGTGACTTTGGGAAAGTCACTTCACCTCTCCTAGTCTCATTTCTCTCATCTATAAAATAAATTGTTTAGATTAGTTTACCAAAGCTTTGTTCCAGCTTTAAAATTGTATTATTCTCTCTTTGGCTAACTATCCCATTAAGATCATATAATGTGGTACATCAGTAACACTAATGGAATTCTTTAAGACCCAGCCATGTCTGTTTCAAATTGTTTTGCTATCATTCAATTCTATTTTTAGAGCAGGAACTGCTGTGTGATTTGCCCTTTGGGGATCCCTAACTGCAAATATGGTAGGTGAGGGTGGACCAGGGTGGGGAAGGGTAAGAGGAGTGGGATTCAAAGTTATTTGATACCCTAATATGTTGGTGTAAGGCAGATGAGATATTAAAACAGGAAACCTCATCCCATAAAACACTGACTCCTCCTTGGTTGCTAAAAACATGGTGTTACACTGCTAATGGTGGTAGTAGTAGTTTCAACAGCTTTCCCCAAAACTAGCTAATTCCAAACACATGATCCCACACGATACCCACTGGAATTCCACATGGTAAATTTAACAGTCCTTACCCATTGCAGGTTACAAAGGTAGATGATGATGATAGATAGATAGATAGATAGATAGATAGATAGATAGATAGATAGATAGATAGATAGATGATTGATCGATAGATGATAGATAGATGATAGACACATAGATACATAGGTAAATAGGTAGATAGATGATAGATAGATACACACTTGTATGTGTGTGTGTGTATATATATATATTTATATATATATATATTTTTTAAAGCCATATATATATATATTTAAAGCCAATATATATATATATTTCAAGCCATTCTCACATTGAAAAGTTAACCTCTGGGTAAACAAAGAATTATTATCTATGCCTTTAGTTCTTTCCCAATGGTTTTCAAGAAGAAAAAGAAAGAGGCATAAAAATAATTCCCAGAATGACAGGGAAAGCCTATTATGGAGAAATTCTTTTCCTGACAAGAAGATAAAATGAGAATTAACATAGTAAGGAAAAAAATTTATAGTAATGTTTCATATTGGATTTACTAAAAATATTGGGCTGTCGGAAAAGTCATGACTCAGTTTTGCAATGAAAAACAGAAAAAATACGTCATGACTTTTCCAACAACCCAATAGTATTGTGAAAGTTTCCAGAAAGCTTCCATTTCTAACCTTCTTATATTAACTTTTCTTTTCCTCATGCTGAGATTTCTAAACCAGACCTTGTAAAAAGAATTTGTGGAGGCAGAAAAGGGTTGAGAGTAAAGGCAGAAAGGCACTTTCAGAACATGTTTTTGATATAATTGGTGCACATCTCCTCAAAAACCTTCCCCGAAGACATTTAGAGGTAGACATTACTAGCCCTGTTTTCATACGATGAAATTCCACTTAGACCAGATGGACTCAAAAGACTCGTTTGCAACTTTTCAAGGAGGCTGTGCAGAAATGCACATCAATGGACAGGAAGAAAGGATGCTAAAGCCTTGAGCACAGCTGAGTGAGGGAGGTCGCTTGACAGCACCTCTGGGAAGACTCCCCCCACGTTTTTTCCATGAGCAGGTGAAGCTGGCTGACCTCATCTTTCCTAAATTGCACTTAACAATTATTTTGAAAAATAAACTTCCTATCCGAAGTGGAAAAGCCAAGTAAGAAAAGAAGACGTAAGGCCCTGCTCTGGCCAAACCTCCCATCAATGTCACGAGGCTTGACTGAAATGCGACCGTGCCACAGAGCCTGGGGTGTCACTAAGATGTGCTAACTGGGCAGCAGACTTCTCTTTATTTCACACACTAGGTTCTGGAGGTGACATTGTTAGGCATCTTCTCTCTGTGAAAAAAGGACGCTACATTTGTTTTTAAATTAAATAACGTAACTTAATTTAAATACATAAAAGGATGTCACATTTTCATCGTTATTTCACTTCCTTCAGCTTTGCCTAAATTTCTGTTTTCACTCCTCAGGCTTTGAGTTTCTTTCAATGAAAATGGAAATAAGTCACTTGAAAGAGAAATTCTCGAGATTTTTCACATTTTCTATTTCATTGTCCAAAAGGTCAGTATTTTACACGTGTCTTTCTTTCCCTTCTTACAGCATTTCATTTTCTAGAATTAGCCGCAATCGACATGTGACCTGTCTTGCAGAAACGCCGTCTAGCTGCGTACTTTCCTTTGATTCAAATAACAGCAATTTGTTTTCTTTAAGAAGTGTAATATTTTCTTTCACTACACTGGAGAAAATACTGGTTAAAAGAATGTTTAAAAGTGGTTTGAGGCTGCTCTGCCCAGGCTGATGTCCTAGCAGATAGGCTTTGTGGTTTCGGGTCTGAGTTCTCAGAAGGAAGCAGTGGGACTCACAGAGAGGCAAGCAACAAGGCGATGACAATGACATGTGAGAGTGAGATGCGAGCAAACACGCTGATGTGTTCAAACAAAGCCTGAGATAACTCATTAAAGGACACCCCACCAGGTGTATGGCAGACACTTAGGGCTTCCTTTTGCTGTCACCTCAACTACATTGTCACAGTCCTATGCCCAGGTATCCTTTAGTCTCCATCATATTGTGCCAATAAAGGGTTTGCATTTCCTTAGATTCACTAGAAAACTGAAAGGGGCAGAACCTAGGGATAGAACTTGTTGAATATATATTCTTTATATTGAACAAAAATATGCAGGGAGATGCATTTCCAACCAACTCAACAAAGGATGTGTGGCATCCTACAGGGCAAGAGAGAGACTGAGCTACTGGCCTCCGGGCCAACCTAACACTCAGACCTCTATTTCCCCGTCAGTAAACATGAGGGGAGTGAAGGAAACTGCTTTCTGATAGTTCTTTCCAAATGTCATTTTTATTTGCATGTTTCTTGAGGAATATTTGTTTGGAAATATTTTTACCACCAAAAGAACTGCTTATAAAATAACATTTCAATTGTCTTCTCATTTCTTTATTCCAAGACATAGATAAGTGTTAATCGGAGTTTATAATCACCAAGAGATGAATAGGGTTAGCACACCAAGTTCCTAAAATATTTGCTGAAAGTAAATAATTTCAGTTAGCCTACATGGTCTTATCATAAGAAAATATATGGTTCCTGTTAAGTTCTTAGAAAAATTGAAATGAGTATATGGGCTCCTATTATCACCTGGGCAGACTCTGAAGTTGGGAGACCTTGGGGCAGCTGATTATCATGTTTCAGATCCAGTTGTAATTTCTGCAGTTCTATCATTTTTCTCTTCCTGCCAAATTGGGCAAGACAAACAAATGGTGTTTTCTTTAAGAAAACACAGCAGTGAAGATGAAATATAAGGAAATATATTAAGCCATTTCCTTCTTGTTATGGTCACAAATCTTTATTATCAATTGGCAACCAATCATTTTTTTTGTAGTAAGTTCAATGTTAAAAATAATAACTTTCCTCAGAGTTTTAATAGGCTTCATTGCATCCATTTCTTTTACAAACCAAAGGACAGCTCAGAGAGAAACTTTAGCTTCTAGATACCCCTTGGGCTCACTTTTGACTTCACATTACAATCAATCATCAGAAATAATGTGTCAAGAAAAATAATGTATTCGTGCACTGTATAGTGCTGAGTTAACTTGAGGTTTAAGGTGTAAGTCTCACCTGCTGGAGGCTTGTAAGCCAAGACAAACAGAATGAACTTCTTTAATCAAAAACCTTCCATGCTGTTGGTTCACCCTGGCACATCCCTAATCACCCCAACAATTAAGACAAAATCCAAACTTGATCTGTCAATCAATCTAGCTTCAAGCTACATCTTCAATCATATCTCCTTCTCTACTCCATTCAACTGAACAAATATTCAGGATACCTTCAACGTGCCAGACCACAAAATGGACAACAGGGATACAAAGATAAATAAAACACAATCTTGCCTGCGAGGTGTTCACAGCCTCTTAACTGAGGAGGGAAGCTATTGGCACAGATATAACAGGAAACATACTAGTGCCTTGTTGGATTGTTATGAGAACTACATGAGATAACACATATGAAGGACTTAGCATGGTGGGAGGCATAGAGCGACAGACAGCAACAATGGTATAATCCATGTGGTGGGTCTGTCTGGGGTGGCGTTGGCTTCCCCGCTCCTCCTCCCCCACTCCCACACTCACATGCTTGCACACACACCACCACCACCACCACCAGACCAATAGCCCATTGCCCCATCTTCCAAACAAATCTGACCACACAGTACATGGGAAAGTCACTTAGATTCTACTGAAAATTTCACCAAGAGATGGGAACTTGAAAAAAAAATGTAATACAATTTTCCATTAGACATTTCTGTGCTTCCTCTGAACATTTCATCTCCGA